GCTGACATTTTGAGTCTTGGGGCCCCACCCCTTTTGTGTTCAGCTTCACCCACCACTGGAATACAATCCCCAAGAGGTTCTCCAGCACTGAAGTTTAGCCCTCGGACTAGAAGAGGCATGACACCCCAGAGCAGAGAAAAGGTCATGCCTGAAGCATCCCTTCTACATTTTGATTAGGTGTTTCTGAGCTTCTTTGCAGATAAAGCAGCAGAATTGGCTGTCAATGTGAACCTTCAGCTCTGTTTGTGACACTTAGATAATTGGAGCCTCAGTGAAGTACCCACAATGGATTTTTTTTGACATGATGTGCTGTTTGCTTTGTGATCCTTTAAATGAGGAGATAGGAACATAATGGAAGACTTGAATGGCTGTACTGTCAGCTGCCCAGAAGGTCTTAAAGAAAAGTCACCCTAAGCTCAAGAGATGAAGAGAGGAAAACACTTGCATTTAGAATGCACTGTGTTTAACATAAAAGGGTTGGCTGCAGATGTATTCAAATGTAGAGCGCACTCATTTTTCATGGCTAACACAAAGTCCATTGATTTCAATGAGTGTGCTCTAAGAACGACTTAATCTAGAGCCAACTCCAAATCTAAGCCTCTTCCCGTGCCTTTCACTGATCCATTCTCCCAACACAGAATTTGGCAGCGGCTTCGGGAGATATTGCACTGTCAGCACGTTCCTTACCTTAACAACATTCTGTGGTATATTTTTTCCCCTTCATTTTTCAGAAGGGATTGCCCTAAAATTATTGAGATTGGATGTTTTTGTAATAAGGTTACACATGGAAAATCTTTCTCCAAAAGCCCTCAGCATGTGTGGTGGCGGCTCTGCTCTAACCTTCAGCAATAGATAGATTTAATACAAAGTTCTCAGAAATGCTGACTGCCTTTAAAGTCTTTAGCAGATCCAGCTCTCCCTGTCCCGGGTCTTCTCTGAGCTTATGGAAAAACAGCTGTGGAAGGCCTCTTGGTCCAGAAGGGATGAGACCATTTTTGCCAATTCCTACTTCTTCCTCCAGCTCCTGGACATCTTCCTAATGGGCCTGAGGAACCCTCTGGTACTGGAGAGCTTTGGCAAAAATGTTCTTATCCCCTCTTCTGTTAAAGGAGGCATCTGCTGGATTCAGTGTCCTTCTGCTAAGAGAAAGGCACAACTGAATGCCACTCCAAGTAGCAAGAATGTCTGCTATATCCAGAGCCCTTTCTCTTTTGGAAGGTTACAGCTGGAGTTGCCCCCTTATTTCTAAATGAAAATGAACGAGAGAAGAAAACATAGTGGTAAACAGAAACAGAGCAATAAAACATGTTGGAAACTGACCACTGCTGAAGAAATGATTGATAATGACTTTTTTGCACTGTGGATCTCACATCTAGAAAGTTATTTAAGACTAGATCCTATGTAAGTTTGGATTGAAAAAAATGTCCTACCACTCCTAGAATCTCCCAGCCTACAGTATTAGGGGTAGGGTAAAATTCCAGGTTAGGGTTAGGGTTCTGAAAAATATGGTCTGGGTGGAGGGATCAGTGCTTGGAACCTGTTCAGGAGGGGGAGAAAGAATTGGATCTGCAATAAACTTGCCTAAAGCTGGTGTTCTGGAAATCCGTATCAGCCATGCATGGGTCACTCCATATTCAGTATGATATTTTAACAAATAAAATCACAGATTAATGTGGAAAAGGGACAAAGAAAAATTATGAATGAATAGATGTGAAAGTAACCCAAACAGCATAGAAAATGGACTGCTTTTAAACAACTTAAAAATCACCCAAACCAAACCAGCATTCCTTTTGACTGGTTGACCTATCAAGAGACCTATCTTCTGATTGTCATTTTTTAAACCTTTATAAGAATCATGGGGGATGAACCTGGTCCCAGATAAAAACTCACCATTGAAACTTTTGCTGTCATGTTGATCACAATGAAAGTGGCACTGTATCACCATCCTCCTTCCAATCGCTTGACCACTCAAGGCAGTATCCAAGTGAACACTAACCTTGGCATCAAACTGTGTTGTGCCAGTGTAAGTAATCTCTAGCCACGAATGTCCTGTTGAGGTGCAGGCAGTCTTCTTGGACCATGTGCACATCTGGCTATTTGAGAGGCCATCCTGTAGACCAGTACAAAATGAATGCAATAGGAGATATGGCAAATTATTATTATTACGTTGCATTTGTATCCCACCTTTCTTTCTCTTGTGAGGAACCCAGAGTACGTAGCATCATTTTATCCTCACAGCAAGAACCTTGTGATGTAGGTTAAGCTGAGAATTTGTGAATGGCCTAAAGTCACTCAGTGAGCTTCATAGCCAAGTGGGGACTACACTATGAATCTCCTGGGTTCCCAGCTCAACACTCTGACTACCACAGTAGCTCTCAAAAGTTGTGTTAGTGAAGGTGAGAGGAAAGTCACCTGGCAAAAAGACCATGTTCAGGATAGACATGGGGTCTTATGAGCAACATACTAAACAACTTCTTTAGACCCTCCATTTCCAACATTGGCACAAGTTTGTTTCATAAAAATCCAAGGTGCTAATAATAAAATGTATTTATTCTTATTTTAAGTGGGAAGGGCAGGAGGCCTTGGCAGGTGCCAAGAGAAGTGTCTGGAGATGCACTGGTATACACAGGGAACATGTTGTCTAACCCTGGTTTGTGCAACAGCAATAGGATTAGCTGGTGCCATTGTTTTCCCCTGGTGCACCACATGCTATTGGTGTGATGCTAAAGCTTGCTTCTGCTGGTGCAACATTATTTCTGTTGCCACTTATGTTTACTTGGTTATTGTCCCAAATAGATAAAATGGTTGTGCTCTTGTTGCATTTGTTCTGGAAAACTGGTGCATTTCATATCCCATTCTGTCTCTATATATGTTTGTATGAGTGTGTGTATGCAAAGCACCTCTTCTGTCTATACTGGACACACTGTGAGAGTCATTCAGATTGTGTTATCTGGAGAGCTGTCTATGCAGGAGTGCCCTTCGATTTCAAAAGAATGCTTCCATCATGGAAAGCTCGAAGTGCTTCTTTGTGAATGTAGGGACGTCTGTGCATACACATTCATTGATGTAAATGTTGGCTGAAAAGGTTGGAGGCATGTGCTCTTTGCCAAATATGGCAAAAACAATGGAAAACATTTCACTGAGGGAATGCTGGCAATGGTATAGATGACTTCTGTAGCAGCAGGGCTGATCATGTAGAAGGAAAGTCGAGCTGATATAATGTCTAAGACACTGAGCTATGAATCAGACTGGATTTAAGTACTGACACGGGAGGGGAATCCTTGCACTTGGATCAAAGCTAGTCACCCTAGGATCCAATCTGACCTACCAGGTGGCCACACCCCCTTTCTGGCTCCACCCATTTCCCTCCCAACTACTAATCATTTGGTGGTTTCTGTTCTTTTGAACATTTCCCCCATATTCTAAAAGATTTGAAATGTTTCTACTCAGTTAAGAGTTTTAAATGAATCAGTTGGTTTTATTTTTTTATCCTGGACTCCACCTTTTTTGCTTTGGTCATACTCAGCACTGGTATGCAGCTCCTGAAAATGTTTCCAAAATGGTATTTGGCCCTTAAGCTGAGAGAATTTCCATACACCTGGTCTAATCCCATCCTGGTAAAACAAACAGAACTCTATGAAAGAGCTACTTATTTTGGGGTATGCATGCGCAGGATCAGCCTGCCATAGCTAATTTTAAGAAGAAGAGTCAAGGCTGCATATTAATAACAGGTAAATACACTTAGAAACATTTTTAGTGATTATGTTTCCCATTTTTTTCTCCATTGACCAATTTTCCTCCAGCTACCATAGGTATTAGATAACATGCCTTCAACCTGCATTTTTCTTCGTGGGCCCTGAGGGATTTGTGTTACTCAGTTACCTGCAGATAAGTTAACTCTAACATCCATACGATGCCTGCATTCATTTCACAAAAGTGATCCATAATAGGCAAGCCTCAAAGCAGATTTTAAAGTTGCAAGAGTTATCTGACTTTCTTCCTGTTATTTTCCCCCCTATCGTATAGACTTGCTTTTATTTCATTTCTCAAAAGAATGGTTTATTGAAAAAGTGACACTATATTTTCCAGTCTCCTGTCTCGGAGAGGCATAAAATCCAAGCGAGATCCATGAAATTTAAAACCAAGGCTATAGTCTGAAAACTTGCAGCGGGGGTGGGGTGGGGGGGGCGGGATAGGGAGCAATGAGAAGAGAAGTGCATTTCTTGTTATTTTGCAGAAGTTTCAGAACATGTTGAAAACACACTGAAAAAAGATTAAGGATTTCAACTCCACTTTATGAAAAGAATTTTATCAGTTGGGATCTTGAAGGAAGACTAGCTGCAATCCCATTAAAAAGTGCTGGAGTGTAATGATGAAAAGCTTTTTTTTTACAGATATGTCCAGCAGATTTTAAAGCTTAAGGAAAAAAGGAGTACCCTCCAACACTGCCCCGGCATTTCAATACAGACGACAGCACAGCAAAGATATGCTTTTTTTAATGATCCATTTTCCATGCGGCATTACCTATTCTTTTATATAGCTTATGCAAACTGTTTTTAGTGGTTGTTTTATTTAAAATCAATACCCTACATCTCTCCCCTTTAAAGAGAGAACTGCATCCTTGTAAGCTGTTTTTAAAACTGGAAGTTGTCTATAGTTTTGATTGTTGTGATTCTATTTTTACAATATCTTGCATTTTTGATTTGCAGACCAGCCAAAAAGCAATTTACATGGAGCCTCGTTAGATGATGCAGAATGCCTATGGCCTAAAGAACTTGTTGCTTTTGGAAACAGTCAGACGTCCAGTTCAAAGGCAGGCCGCAACATTCCTCGGAGACACACCGTAGGCGGTCCTCGGAGCTCTAAAGAAATTCTGGGAATGCAGACATCAGATATGGACAAGAAGAGAGAAGCTTTTCTGGAGCACCTAAAGCAGAAGTATCCCCATCATGCCACTGCAATCATGGGTCACCAGGAAAGGCTGAGAGATCAGGTATGGAAAAGCAACCAAATGTTTTTGCGTGCTTTCAAAACTGGTATTTATCAAAACATTTAGTGTGAGTCTTATGTGGAAATCCAAGTGTGTATCAGTCATGGGAGGCTTAGATACCATGCCAGTCCACTAGCCAGACTAGAATGTCTGATAGCACCAGGATGCCCTGTCGCTGGTGATGACACTGTCCACATGGTATCAGTTCACATGGATGGACATTTTGCTATTGTTGAGAGCAGCTTCCCTTGCCTGATGGGGATGCATTCATGAAGATACTGCTAATACTAAAGCCAGTGAGAAACGCTTGTGCTTGCAGGAAGCGGATATGGAGCTTGCATGCATGGAGGCAACTGACAAAATACATTCTCAAAGTAGGGCCAAATGACCAGCAGAATTACATGGCACAGCTCTAGCTGGATCATTACCAGCAAGAGAAAATATGGTTGTAAGAAATTTTACATGACCCTCTACTGCCCTCTGAAGTAGTACAGTCCAGCGGTAGATAACTGTCTCATGATCCTCTAAAACCCGGCTCCGAGTCTCTGGGCTCCAAGTGAGGAATGTACTAGAGTCAGAATACACTTCGCTCTAAACCATAATTTCCCCAATGATTGGGAAAGACAGGGTTTGGGGTTACAGCAAGGCAGGCTACAGTGAGGCAGGATACAGGTCAAGCAAGAGGCAGGCACAACATCAGACAGAGGGACCTATGTTACTGAGGCTGCATGGCAAGGCAGGATACACAGTAAGATGCATAAAGGGTCAGACAAGGTGCAGGCACTAAGGCAAAGAGGAAGATCTCTGTTGCTGAGGCCGGTTTGGGGTTTTGTATAGCTTTTACCCCAGGGTTCGCAACTGGCTCTGATAAGGAGGCTGAGAGCTCCAGCAGGGCCTTGGACCGATCCTGCAAATACTGAGGCAGGCTTCTGGTTCTGACCACCAGTTGAAACTCCAGAGCAGCTCTGAACTTGACACAACGTAATTTCTTAATGATACAGTCCCAGACAACTGACCAGCTCCAGCCATACTGTGACCTTGAGGTTCAACTAGTCATGCTCTTTAAATGGTGTTTCCGTTGATGAAGGTCAGGAAGGGCAGCTGGTGCCAAGCAGGAGCTCACTGCACTGTTCCAAGATTCACATTCTGGGCACAAGTCAAGATGCTTCAGTGGCACTGGCCTTCGTACAGCTCCCAGTCATTGTGAGAAAGAAAGGTCATCTTGATTCTTCATTTTTCCTTCTCTAATCAGCATAGGCTAAAAATGCACACACTCAAGTGTGCCACTGGGTTCAGCACCTCCAGTTAAAATGTTTCCTCATTGATTCTCATTGTCCCCTAAAGCTCAATCAACTAAAGTCTTTGGAGGGAATTTCCTTGGCCAAATTTAATTTTGAAGATGGTCTCAGAGGCTGTGTTCCTTTGCTCTGTGGGGCCAATGCCAAAGGGGGTGGGGTGGGGATTACAACAGACAAACAAAAAGACCCAGGATATTTTGGCCTACAGCTTTTGCTGCCCATAACTAAGTCATAGGATGCGAAAAGCATGGATCCAAAGTCAACGAACCACAAAACAGCAATGAGAGGCACTGAAATGTGGCCAGGGCCAGGGGGCATGGCAACTTGGGACCTTTATGGGCCAGATATGGGTCACAGGCTTGAGGTTCAGCGTCCAGGGCAGGGAGAACCTGTGAGCCCTAGACATTGTCAAAGGAGCATAGAATTTTTTGGATTCCCCAATCTGAGGATGGGAAAGAACACTGGCCTTGGATCTAGGGTCCATCCTCCTGTCTCCCTTGTAGCTGGTAGAGAAAGAACGAGGGCAGCACCTTCCAAGGTTATGAAGAACGGGTGAAGAGGGCATACTGGAGGCAGAAAGTGGAGGAGACTAGGCCCAGCAAGATATGGTGTATCTTGACATTAATCTTTCCCTCTTCTTCTGTTACGATGCACTTGGAAGGCCAGAAGTGGCCATCTAGCTCACTTGCAGGGCAAGAGGAATGGGGAGATGAAGTTTGCCTCTGTGCTCCTCTTCCTCTAAATCTCTGAATTTCGAGGCTTAAAGGCACCCCATTGGTTCGCACCATTAGTTGACCTGTGTACCAATTAAAACATGTGGCCCTATTTTTTTAACTGGATAGTATTTATTGGATAGAACTAAGTCATCTATCCAATGGGAGTGTGGTCATAAGAGTGTGAAATTGTGCATATAATTTAATTTAGTACAAAAATTCCTGATCATCCCACATTCAAAAATTGTGCTATTTTAAATGCTTCAAAATAATTTCAAAGTTGACAATCATTACTATTTTTCCATCCCTCACCTTTTCAGAGGAATGGAATGGCAAAGAAAATGTCCACCTTGACACTGCTGACGCCTTGGAGACTGGAATGTGTTGCTTGTTAATGATATGTCACTTATGGAAGGATGCAAAGTAGATGAGCGATGCAGAAAATAGCCTACATGTATTTAATCAAAGAGCCATTTTCTGAGTATTGCTATTTAAATCATACTTCCAGGAAGTGCAAACTGTTGCACTGTTGGACATGAAACTGGTTAAAATGAAGCTGTTTTAATTTTGTTCCAATATCAAATACATTTATAATGCTTTTAATTTGTTGCTGTTACATGTTGGACTTGGTGCTGTCTTGATGGAATCTTGGGGCTGGGCTCATTTTGTTTTTGGGTTTGGTGACATTGAGATTCAAATCTGAAATGGCTTTTCAGTTGACACCCTAAAGTGGAACAAAATCAGATTGGCAAGTTGACGTGGGATGGGGGCTGAAGTAATGTACAAAGAATGGGAGGAGGTAATATATTCTGCTTGGAAAGGGGCTGTTTGGCCCACTTCTTCTTTGCATCTATAGAAAATAAAGCATTTTCCTTTAAAATTTCCTTTAACATTAAAAAATGGGCCGGTCTCCTTGGTAGGCAGTGCTGTACACTATGATTTCCCTTGGAAGTTCTGGTGTTACATTAGTATAAGATCGATGGAGGTCCCCATTTCTTGGAGAATTGGGCTTATATTTAAGCCAGTATCCATCCAGTAAGGTCTGAAGGAGTGGGGCTGGCATGCAAGGGATGTGGGGTGCAGAGCCTGCCTGTCCCCTTATACAAGGGTTGAGCAACATGTGTTTTGTATGCTGCGTGTGTTCCCTGGCTCTTTTTGTAACTCCCACCCATCCTCCTTGCCACTGATTTTGCCACCAAAATTTGGTGTCACAGGAACCAAACCACTCACCCTTTGCTGCTGGAATTTGACAGGGCGGCAACATTGCAACAAAGGGAGGATTCTCCCTTTTTCGCTGTTGTGCTGCCAAATTTCAGGTGCAAATTCAGTGGTGCAGCAGGATCAGGGGCATGTTCCCGGGGGGAAATTGGCCATTGCCTAACCTTGTTTTGGCCTCACATGTGCAGGCAAGTTTCCAAGATATGTGTTCTGGTGTTTTTCACTTCAAGGAATTCAAGGTGCCTTACATGATCCTTTTCCTAAATTTTAACCTCATAACAACAACCCTGTTAGGCCAAAAGCCCATGGCCCAAAGTCACCCAGGGGAGTTCCATTGCTGAGTAGAAGTTAGAAACCGGAACTCTCAATGTTCCATTTGTTTGCTCCAGCCAACGCTGGTGTAACACTGGTTTTCCCCACACCAGTCAAGTTATGGAGCTGGCCTCAGCATTCTGATTTCCTGCCAGTTTTTGTAATTTGCTCGCTACCATCTTCTTTCTCCCTTAAACTTTGAAGCTCTTAGCTGCCTCCATTCCTGCTTCACTGATTGTGCTGGCTATCTGTATAATGAACTATAGCATCTCAGTGGAGAATGCAGGGTAGGAGGGGTAAAGATAATGCAGAAATTGCTTCTTTTTCTTCTTTCTTTTCTAAAGGAGACTTCTGAGATTAGATCTTTCCTGAGTCATGTAAATATTTAGTTCCAGTGGAGAAGATACTTGCAAGCCAAGTTTGAACGAACTACTGCAGGGACGCCCTCTGCATTTTGAAATTTGATCTCCCTCTGAAGCCAATAAATTACAGAAGGAATGCAGGAACTAAATTTGCTGTTTGTTTAAAAATATCTCATACTTGCTAATTTATTCAAGGAGCAATCCTGGGCTGCAATCCTAAACTTGCTTTTTAGGTTGACAGGCATACTAATTTAAGTGTCATTTACCTCTGAGTAAATAAGCATGCATAAACCTAAGCTGCATACACAGTGAATATACAAATATCAGAGCAAGGCAGGGTCAGCCCAGAGGGCGCTGGTCTGGAACCCGTTCTCCCTACATTCACAATCAAAGCAGATCATGTTCATAAAGACAGTAATGAATGGGTGTTCAGTTCTCAAATTCAGTTTACTTCTTGGAAAATTGTTGCTGTGTTGTGGTGATAAGAGTGTCAGCTGGGACTCAGGAGATCCAGGTTTTAGTCCCCACTTAGCCATGAAGCTCACTGAGTGCCTTTCAACTAGTCAGTGACTCTTAGCCAGACCTACCTCATAGGGTTGCCATTGTGAGGATGAAATGGAGTGGAGAAAGAGGGGACTGTGGATGTTACCTTGGGTTCCTTGCAGAAAAAAGGTGGGTTATAAATGTGACAGACACACAGATGACTGACAGACAGACAGACATTAGTCTGATTCTTCTGAAATGTCAAGTTGTAGCAAACAGTAGTATACCTAATTAATTGGCTTAGTGTGTTGGGCGGGCAGCCTACCCTTCCTCAAGAGTTAGTGATCACACAGATACAGGAAAGGTAGGCTAATTCCCATAAACTCATGCCTAGGTGGGAGCACAGAAATAATCAGGGCATAAGGCCAGGGCAAAATGTGATTTGGTGGGCTCCATCCTCTTTTGGGCTTTGTTCTTAGCAGCAGCCGCCGCCTAACAACTGGCAAGAACATTTCTAACTTAGGGGCATAGTATGAATTTAAAATGACAGGCTGGGATAGCTGCCTGCAGTTGTTCAGAACATCAGCTGGGCAGAAGGTAAATGGGGCCCAAGCAGGCATCATAGTGGGGAGACTGCAACCCACTAGGTGCCCAAGAACACCCCCAGTTCTAGATGCCAGCCCTGCCTACTGAGCAGCAGCTGCTTTACAAGGGGCAGCCCTCTGTTTGAAGGGTTGTCTAGAGCCTGTTTAAAGGTGAGGCACCCTAGAAAGGGACAGCAGTGGGACTGTGAAGGTGTGGGTCTGCAGTTGGAACCTGGAATGTAGATGCAGCGGGCTTGTGGGGCACTGGCTTCCCCACACCAGTGTGATGTATTTCTAAGTTAAAGTAATGAGTTCTAAAAGTGTGTCTGAACATATAAGTTAGCCTAAGCAAATGGGAGGCAAGTCTGTGTCTCTTTTGCCCTTGTTTTTGAAATGTGCAAGTGATGACCCTATTCACATGTAATGGTGGGGTGGTCTAGTCCTTACAAACGTGGCAGAAATGATCAAATGGGTTCCCTCACTCCTCCTCCATCTTACTGCACTCTGCTGCTAAATTTCCTGCCTCCTTGGCTCCCTTCTGGTATCAGAGCTGGAGGGGAAGTATGGCAAGGGATGGTGTTCATATAATTCCAGCCACTTTCCTCTAGGCTCGATATCTGAATGGGCCGGACTCGTGGGCATCCAGTTTGGCCCTAAGCCTCAGGCAAAAGAATCTCACCTCTCAATAAGACTCAGAAGCATGTCCAACGAAGAGGAAAGCATTGCCAAAGGAGGACTCCTGTTTGCCCATGCCGTTGTGGTGTTGTGGTAAAGAAAGTTGGACTGGTTCTCATTGGCCTTGAACACAGTGAGATTGGGCCAGTCACCCACTTGCAGCCCAACCCACCTCAGGATAAAATTGAGAGAAGGGGAGCCTTACAAGCTGCCCTGGGTTCCTTCCAAGAGCAGGAAAGGTGGGCAATAAATGCAGTGTAATAATGATACAAATTTATTCCTATTTAGAAATATGCATTATAATTTAAATGGAATTGCAATATATGGTAGTATAATGAAGAAGGCCAGGTGATTGGGTTATGTCCAGGTGCTGTTCAGGTTAATGGGTTCTAGTTCTTCATCTTTAAACTGGAATTGGACTAGATGTTCCTTCTGATAGAGGATGCCTTCAAATAGAGGACAGTCCTCTGTAAAATAGGGCACATGATGTTCCTAATAAGAATGCAGTGAGTTGAATTAAGGAATTTAAAAGTGGGGAAGCAGAGAGGTCCAGTGTGTGAGCTCAAACTTGGAAATAGCACTCCAAATAAATGAGTTTGGTTTGTTGCAAACAAAGCAACAAACAGCCAGAGCTCTGGTTTATAATGAAGGCTCAACATCATAACATGATGTTCCCAATGACTTACTTGGATGCTTTATCCGTCCTGTCTTTGTACGCTGAAAGCTTTGTGTGTGGGGTGCCTTCAAGGAGCTCATCCTGGAAACCACCCTTTCTTCTTCTGAATACTCTTATTAGGACATAATTGCATCCATTGTGATTCTTCTGGGAAGCAGCCAGGTAAGGATGTTTTCAGCTTCCCTTCTACCCATACGAATATTTGGCCTACTAATGATTTTCTGGACAGGATCCAAAGTGGCCATAAGCACACACATGAACTTTTCCATGGTCAGTGGGGCTTCCTCCTTATTCCTTATTAGGTAGGGAGGTATGAATCCACAAAACTTGAGCTTGCCAACTTTGTCCAAATTCTGCCTCAAAGGTCATTCAGATTCAAGGCCATATTAGATTGCAAGTTTGTTTGTTTGTTTTCAAATGAAAATCTGCCTATTTTTTCCAAGTTTTACTCCCACTGATTAAAGAATATTTAATCGTAATGCATAATTAAAGTATGCATTTCCTGCACAATTTTGAAATGTGCAAAAGCTGTTGAATACTTCCTTGTGTTGAGTAGGGGTGCTTCCTTCTGGACAGAAACGAATTTCTCACAACCCCTACTAGCATGTGCTTGGCTTGCTTTAGAGACTACCCCTACAGTTCTTCCAGTTTCTGTGACTGGTCAGGTGGGTCCTGGGGTGAGCTGCTTTTGGAAAGGGGTCATCAGAAACAATGCTGAATGCCTGAAAGGGGTGCTTCCCAGATCCCAATCTGATCTTCTAAGGTTCTCCTTTCCCCGGTTTCCCCAACCAATGATTGCTGAGACATTTCCTAGTTTTTATGCTATTCTCTTGCTGCCACCTACTCCCGCCAAAAAAGGTTGAAAATGCTTTTCCTGAGGTTTAGTTACTTGTGGAAGAGCTTTCAGCTAAATATGCTGGTCTTCTGGCCCCACCCCTTTTGCCTTTATCCTGCCTCCCTTTGCCTTTGGCCCTGCCCACCACTGAAATTAGGCCTCCAAGAGCTTCTCCAAAATAATATTTGGCCCTTGAGCTGAAAGACGTTCCATACACATGTTCTACAAGTGCTGCAAAGTTCCCAGAGAGAAACAAAATGCAACAAATACAATATATGTGGATATTTTAATCCTTTAGGGTGGTGTGAAGCAGAAAAAGGTTTCTAATAGGCAGTTGAAGAGTTGACATCCGGCACAGGAACCCTTATCTAAACATCAGCCTCTAGGTGCTATTATGATACAAACAATACATTCAACAGGTGCGGCTCCTATTGCAAAACTGTTCCCCCGCACACTTAAGCAGGACCTGTCAGATCTTTTGAAAAGGATAGTACAAAGATTGTCACAACTCTGCAAGGTGTTGCTCGCCAGGAGTGGAAGAAGGTGTTTACGTTGGATATTTTTTTTCCTGTGGGGTGAGGGGAAATCCAATTTTCAGCATGCTTTTATTGAGAAAGCACTGAATGTTTATGAAACTGAAGTGCAAGCAAGATCCAGTGTTTACTGAAAAAGAGGGAAAGGGAGGCGTAAAGGAAAGGGAGGGGAATTTGAGAAGAAAGCTACAGAAAGACAGCTTCTGAAGGTGGCGATACGTTCTGTGGGCTGTGGCAGGTAAGGTCCACTGAATTGTCCAGTTCTGTCACGTAGTTGGTTCTTTTGGTTCCATGGTGGTTAGCAAGCTGGAAGAGAAAAAGTGTACGTGAAGTTGAAATAATGCTTGCAGTGAAAACTCATTTTAAAAAGAGCCAAATTCCTTCCAAATAAAATGGGGAAGAGCTTCCAGGAGAAACCAGTTCGGCAGGTTGTACTACCTAGAGGGGATTATGGGTTCCTTTAACAAAACAGTACAAAAAGAAACAAAGAACTTGCTGAGACTGTAGTATTAAAACTTCACAAATGCTCTCCAGTGTAACATTTTTGGGTGTGTTCATCCATGTTGGTTGTTTCTTTCTCATTGTTCAACAGGGAAAGGCAGATAAGAATACATTGCTCCGCAGTTGCTTTTTAAAGGAAACAAACAAGCCAGTCATACAAATCCCTTAGTGGGTTTGCCTTTTTAAAGAAATAAACGTATATTCTATTTTTAATTCTGAGTTAACTTCTGGAATATCTGTGTGCCAAGGAGTGTATCGTTAAACATTTACTTGAAGCAAACAGTTAAATTGTACGCATGTCCCAAATCTGACAGGTTACTCTGCGTGTAGGCAGGTGGGGTTAAAGTAACCATGGAGATTTATGAGGTCATGCTTGGGAAAGCATGTTAAGACAGTGAATGTAACATGTAGCCATTCAAAAGTCCCATAGGCTGGAAGTAGCTTTTATGCAAATGACAAAGTTCCACTTGGGAAAGGGGGTAAAGGAGTTGCACTGGAGGCATGGAATGTATTTTACCTGCCTGGATTGTTAGAGAGTTTACTATGAAGTAAAGAGTTTGGTGGCTGCGGGAAATGTTCTGTAGCTTATCGCCTGCCTTCCCCTGGGACTACAGCAATTAGGTAAACAAAAATTTCCTTTTCACTTTACTTTGACTACAGTGGTGCAGTTTGAATTTTACTTTGTTGCATTGTTTTCAGAAGAACAGAGCTGAATCAATAAACTGAACTTCCTGGTATGGCATATAAGTGCTGTTTTCGCTCTCGCTCTCTTTCGCCTCCTCTGCCGCCACCCCCCTCCCCCCGCCAAGGGGCTATTTTGGCACCCCTGCTTTTGATTTGAATGTTCAGCAAATGTTGCATGATATGAAATGAGGGGGTATTATACTTGTTACGTGGCTCCTGTTTTGTACTTCTGTGGTGTAGGGAGGAGAAATGAGAAAATGAAAATGGTATTGATTTTATTAGTGGAACTTTTCTTCCTAGGCATCTCTGCTGTAAGCATTTGAATAAAATTTAGCAATACATTAACAAAATAACCTCCTAAATGTACAAAGAACGACACTCAGTTATTTTCAATTAATTATGAGCATACACCTTTGTTTGCAAAAAATCTTAAAGTGCAAATGTATGATTTAAAAGGTTTGGTTAAGAGGAAGACGCTTAGCCATTTCAATACATTATAAAAATAATAAATACATTATTTATATAGCTAGAAGAAGGTGCCCTAATATTTGGTACTACAGTATTGGCAGCAGAATCTGTGTTTGGTCTTAGAACCTAAGCATCCACGGAAGTGGATTAGGTTGCCAAAGATGAGATTTCAGAACTGGTGTCCTAGTATCATTATGTGAAGCTGATTATTTGGTGACTGATTTAACAGGAAAGAGATCTGTGATGCAGATAGAAACATGAGAGAATGCCAACAGATTGTTTGCATTACTTTGTATACTTCCAGCAAAATTAATAAAACAAAAACAAACAAAACCTGAGATGTATGAAGAACTCCCATCACCTTCCATCCCTTTATTATACAAACAGAAATAAATTCACGGGTATGAAACAGTAACAAATAAACAGAAATAAATGAGAAAATTGTTTGAGTGATTTTTGCAGGGGACAGGGAAAGTGTAGAAAATCTATTTTATATGGCACTTGTAGATAAATAGCTAGTATTAGTTATTAATGGTAATTTATAGAATTAATTCCTAGCCTGTTTTTCCCCCGCTGTTGTTGGTTAGAAAAAGGACTGGTGTGTTATGTGTTTAATATTAAAATATGTCATATTGAACAATGTGTCAAATAAGCTTGGGGATTTGCATTAATTATCTGATTGTGGCTGATGAAGTGGAAGAGTGGAAAGGACTATGGAGGAAAGTGAGTCAATGTTAATATTGTGTGAATAAATTTATGACTGGTAACTCTATGTAGAAAGATGATATTTGATTGCAGCACAAATAGCTTATGTGTTCTGAATCAGGAAATACTTAACTAGTGAGTACCCATCATTATGTCTAAAGGTAGTGGCGGAAAGGCCTGAATATTATGGTAGCCAAAGTGCATTTCTGTGCTTTTGCATTGCAAATCTCAGTATGATTGCTGGTAGTACAGTCCAGAGATCACCCTGTGGGTCTGTTTTGTTCCCAGACAAAAAATAATAATATTTATTTATTCATTCAATTTATATCCTGCCTTTTTCCTACAAAGGGCTCAAGGCAGCTTACATCATTCTCCTCCTCCATCTTATCCCCACAACAACAACCCTGTGAGGTAGGTTGGGCTGAGAGTCTGTGACTGGCCCAAAGTCACCCAGTTGGCTCCATGGCTGAGTGGGGACTAGAACCCAGATCATCTGAGTCCCAATCCCATGCTTTTAAACACTACACCACACTGGCTCTCCCAAAATATCCCACTGCAATGCTATACTTTTCCCATAGAAAAGAACAGCAACATTGATGTACACAGAAGAAATCAGAGGAAGGCATTCAGTGATAGGGTGGGTTGTGGGAGCTGATGTGCCAAAGGGATAGAACTAAAGTTAATAATTACCTGACTTTGAATACAATTTTGTCTGACTGCTCAACGGGATATGTTTCTGTTGCATTGTGAAGTGAACAACTCTCCCAGAAATTCTTCCTTGGGACAGGATTTAAATGGAATGGTTCCTGACATAAACTCTGAAATGACAATTCCAGGAGTTGGGGAGTCTGGGAAATGTAGTTTTCCCAAGCACCTTTAGATATATGTCAGATTCTCTTTTTCTTACATGCCGTAGGTACCTTGGGTCTGTGGTGCTGCCAAACATTGTCCCAACTTAATCCTTTCAAGTGATGCTGGCTTTAGGTTTTGGAGGCCCATGGGTAAGGCATCTTCCCTCAGTGAGGCTACCTTCCCACCACTATTGCCACCAAGTACTCTTGTTCCTCATTCTCTTTTTCAACATTTGCTTGACAGGCAGCAAGCAAGAAGGCAGTGACATCTACTGCTTCTGCTGCTCTTTCTCCTCCTCTATCCTTCCTCCTCCTCATCACCACCACCTCTGGCATCTGGACCAAATAAGAAGCAGGTGAACAAGCAAGGTGTGGTGGTGAGGATGAGGAGCAAATCTAGGGAATTCTTGTTACTAGGTCTGTTGGTCCGTTCCAGAGAAGCCTTGAGACAAGTAATGATCTCAAGTACCTACTGCCCATAGTAAATGCCCAACATGTTCCTAGACTTCCTGGTGCCTCTGGTTTTGCACTGCTTGGGGACCAAAAGTCACTCAAATGGATCTCCAGTAAGGCCTCACAATCTCCACTGCTGCCAGATATGGAGAAAGGGAAGGAGGGGTGCGTAGGACTCAGCAGTGGTGATGGGGAGGGGGCAGGCTTGTAGCCTGCCTAGGAGAAGCATTTTGACCGTGTTGCCTGCACGATGAGGTCTTTAGGAACATCATGGGCTTCAGTTTCAAAACTGGAAATGGTTTGGAGCAGGGGGAAGGGGAATAAGCTGTTTTCTAATACTTGGGAAACAGCTTTATTTGCCAGGTCCAGTTCTAAATTAAGCTGTGAGAATTCAGCATCACTACTTTAATACAGCCATAAGTAGTTCCTTCTCATGCTCGCTCGCTCTCTCTCTCTCTCTCTCTCTCTCGCTCTCGCTCTCACTCTCGCTCTCGCTCTCGCTCTCGCTCTCTGGTTGTTAGATATTTTTATAGCCAAGAGGCTGAGTACAAAAAGACTCTGCAGGCCTATACAGTCACTTCCACGTGCCAGTCAGGAGGTCTTGCTTTCCCTTCTCTGGACCACAAAGCTTTGCTCAGTGCCAGAGTCTGTTTCCAGTGTTTTCCTAAACAGCTCACTGCTTGCTGTGATGTAGGGACTGCTCTCTGAAGGCAAGCATCAGATGGTTTTGGACAAATCTGGCTTTCTCTCGTTTCTGTGGAGGATGTACCATTGTCATTTTCCCATCCTATGCTTGTTAGCTGGCCTGACTTGAGCGTTGTTCAGTTGCTTCCATATCAGTGGCCTCACATGTATTGGTTTGCTCGAAACATTATCTGAGATAGAATCGTAGAATAGTAGAGTTGGAAGGGGCCAGAAGGCCATCAGGTCCAACCCCCTGCTATTGCAGGACACTAAGTTGCACCATCCCATTTAGGTGACTGTCCAAACACTTTCTGAATATCTCCAGGAGGGAAAGCCCACAGCTTCCCTGGGTAATAGGTTCCATCATTGGACTGCTCCATCAGTGAGGAAATTCTTTCTGGTGTCTAGTCTAAATCTGGCTTCTTTTATTTTAAGTCCATTATTCCATGTCCTGCACTCTGGAATGGATGAAAAGAGATCTTGTTCTTCTTCTTTGTGACAGCCTGGACAGCCCTTCTGCTCTGCAAATGTGGAATCACTGTCAAGAGTGGATCTGGACATGTTTGTCAAGGGCAAAGATAGCTTCACATGCAATGAAAGCACAAGAGAGCATGCATGTAGCTAATTTGGTCATCTTGTGTGCCAATTGGCCAGTCCCCAGTAGGATAAGTGACTTCTCACTGGGGGTATCCACTGTTACCAAGGATGCTGCTCTCTGACCTCACATACTTATCAGTTTATTGGTCCCATCTCTCAGGCACTGAATTAATTCTCAGGTTGTGCCCAATCAGGACTCGTTTTTGGTGGGAATCTGAAGGCAGATTTGCTTTGTATGCTTCTGCCATGCTTCTGAGTCACTGAGAAGATCATCACTAATAACTCTTACTTATTCATGCTTAAGGCTATGGTTTTGGGGAGAGACCTTAAGACAGTGATAGTGGTTAGGGGCAGACATGGTACTGTGCATGCAGATAGTCCCAAGGTCAGTTGCTTTTTGGCAGGCAATCTGATGTCCTGCAGATATTTGGGACAACAGCTCCCAACTCTTCCCTGACCACTGTCATACTGACTGGGGCTTATGGAAGCTCTACTTCAAAACATCTGGCAGGCAACAGGTAGTTTATGGTTTGGAGGAAGATCATAGCCTATTGGCAGGTAGCACACATGTATCCTATGCAGAGGTTTCCATCTTCATTACCTAGCATTTCTCAAGTAATGGAAAAGACCTCTGTCTGAAACGCTGGAGAAATGCTATTAATGCAGGTTTACATGGGCTAATAATCTGACATGGTGTATGGCAGCTTCCCTATGAAATTTTATTTTACCCTGCGATAAAATTGAAAATAAAGGCAGCAGTAAAGAACATACAGCAAGAAAACTAAGGGTGCAATCCTAGCAGTTGCACCCCTGATGCTGGAAATCTTCCAGACTTGGAGACTTGCTGAGATCTCCTTATCCCACACTGCATTTTAACATGACACTCATTTTTGGCCGAATAGCTGAGGCAGTTTGGAGGAGAGGGAAGGAGGCTGGAGCACCATCAGGATGCACCATATTCTGATGGCCCCAGTCTATTCTGGAAACATGCTCTCTCCAGGGTTGATTTTCTGACCACAGAGAAACAGCTGGTATGATTCTTTCCACACTGGCTGTGCAGGGGGAAGGAGGATTAGAGTACAGATTCCCAGCTCTGATGTCAGAACTTTGTTTCCAGCCTTGGATCTAGAAAACTGAATTATCCTATGTCTGAAGAAATAAAGATTCTAACTGATTATA